TCTGCACACAACCCCCCTTCCACCTTATCTGCCCAAGCCCAAGCAGAGTAGGGTAGAAACCCATCAGCCATCCAGGTGCCATCAGACTGGGCACTGCACAGATGGAGCAAGAGGCAATCAGTGCCTCAAGGTGCTTATGATTTCAAAAGACAGGACCCGCAAGAGGAAACATCACCTTTTTCCAGATGAGAACCCAAGGCCCAGGCACAGCTCTGATACTGCTCCCTTCCTGCCTTCAGGGCTGCAAAATCAGAGCAGGAGCAGCATGTGCAGAAATGCCCCAAGGTAGCAGGGCACAGACTGCAACACGAAGCTGAAGAGAGGAGAGCAGGGCCCAGCTCTCGGGTTGGCCTGTTTGATCCTCTGTGAGGCAGTAAGTGATGCAGCCAGGGCCACGCAGGGAGGCTATGGCAAAGACAGGAGCTGGACCTGGGGCCTTTCTCCATCTCTACAAAGATGATCAGGGCTGAATGTTATGTGCTGACCCTCCAACAAGGGGTACCCTAGCAGAGCAAGCATCAGACGGGGCATCTAGAATCTCTGGGGCTTTCTTCAGGATCAAACCCCAGAGCAAATCATGTCACGTTTCCATGCCCTGCTTCCCCTCCTCCTGAAATAGATGACCCTGTTAGCAATGGTGGTGACAGCCTCAGCAGCTACCAAGGGCAAGAAAGGGCCACAGAGAACAGAGGAATATAGCCATCCCCCTCCCAGCCGGCACCAAAGAGAAGTGCTACCCCAGCTGCTCCCCACCGTGCCCCCAGGCGCATGCTAACCCATTGTCCCCTGCTCCTCTGCATGGCCCGGCTGCCCTGCTGAAGTCACTGGGCATTTTGCTTTAAGGCCTAGACTGCTCCAAAGAAATTCTTCCTCCGTTCCTTGCCTCACCCCATTGCACGGACTTTCAATAGCCCAGCAAAACCATGTGCAAAAGAAATTTCTGTCACCAGAGCGAGAGCAGCGGTGCTAGCACCCACCAAATCCTGGCAATGCCCCCACTGTGGATATGGGCCTGGGCAGTGGCATTTAATTTCTGCCCCAAGCCGCCTTGGTGAAATCGTCACCTACAGAAAGTGGGTCAACGTCTGCCTCATTTCCTGCCCCCTCCCCTGGCCTGCCCCACGCGAGGGGTGTGAACAGATCACATCCTGTGGCTGCTGAAGCCTGCCCAGCTGAAGGCCCCCCACCATGCTGGTTTATCTGAAGGCAGGTTCTGCTCCTTGGCACCACCCTGGCAGTGCCGTATGGACCCCAGGGGCCCGGCCATGGCTGTCAGAGCTTCAGCCCTTTCCCTCCCCAAAACAGGGACATTCGCCTATCTAGCAAAATACTGCAAGATCCTAGGACAGCAGGGGCGAAGCAGGCACCCCCAGCCCAGGATGGGATCTGCCCAGAAGCTCTCTGGCAAGGAGAGAAGGGCCCCTACCCCAGTAAGCAGGACCCACAGCCTTGGGGCTGTTGGCCCCACGAGCCTTGCTGCTATAGGGATGCAATGCAAAATGTATGCACGCATCTGCGGCCCAGGATGGGTGGAAGCACCGGGCTGGAGGACACTTCCAGATTGTCCTCCCCTGCAAGATGATCCTTGCTTGGCTGCTCTGAGTGAGGGGCCGTTGTAACTCCTCCCTCCAAGGACCTCCAGCAGACATCCGAGAGGCCCCTTGGCCATCCAAGGCTGGAATCCCCAGGATCTCGCTGCTTCCCCCACAAAGGTATCTCAGCCCCTTCTCCACAACCTGTCTTCTGCCTGGTACACCCTGGGCTCCCTCTGCCCCTGGTTACCACTGCCAGCTCAGGGCATGGAGATAAGCAGCCCTTGGGGGAACAGAGGTCCGGCCCATAGGAGGATGCCGAGAGCTGTAGCTGACATAGCGCACACCCCCATAGCACAGGGACAGGCATTTTGGGGGCAGAGGCCGCTTGCATTCCAGGGCAAACGCAGCAGCATAGACCGTTACCTTGCAAGTCTCAGGGGTGGGGAGGAGAAGAACGTGTGTAACCATGAGCTGCCCTGGAAACCATCCATCAGACCGATTCCAGCCTTCGCTGAGGACAAGCCAATGTGGGCGAATCCTTCTGGAGATGGAAAGCACTGACTGTACCAGCAACCCGTCTGCTGTGCTCTCAGTTCCCAGCTCCTTCACAGATCTCCCAGGGGATCGGCCATGTTGTCCAATTCCACCCTGTGCAAAGCAGGAGTCTTTTCTTTCTCTGTCGCCACCGAACTGTCAGTCCTGCTGCCATGTGCCTGGGGGACCCCTGAGCCTGCCCGGAGCTCAGTGGGGCTGAACCGACGGAGTGGCAAGGCTGGGGCCTGCCCAGTATGGGAGCCTCTCACCATGGGTCTCCCAAAGCACCAAGCAGGACAGGGCACTGCTGTGCATGGGGGGCTCTATGCATGACCAGGCTGCGAGTAAATAACAGCATATCATCCACTTCATACATTTACATGAAGCATCTCAGGCCTAGTCTGCGCCCTGCCTCTCCAGGTCCAGCGCTCTGGACACCGCCCAGCCTGTTCCTTCCCTGGCTCAAGTGCATCCTTCCCGAGCATTAGAGCCACAATTGCAATCTGGTTTGCTCTGCATCCTCAACCCATCCAAGGTGCATCAGAGCAGGCTGCAGTCTCAGCCCCTGCTGATTTATGGCTGTCTGGTGAGAACAGCCTTTCTATTGGGTTCCCCACCCCCCACCTTAGGGAGACCTTCCCTGGGGCATCAGGCTTTGGGAAAGATTGCAACATGAAAGTTAGTCTTGGGCCCAGACTTGCAGCCCTTTGCAAGGCAAAGGGAAGAGCCTACCCGGTCAGGGGGTCTCCAGGAGAGCTACAACTGACACGGAAAGCAGCCCCAAGTCTCAACTGCTCCTTCTGGAAGCAAACCCAGCTGGGATTTGCTAAGCAGCCTGAGGCAGGTTCGTACCCAGCCCCTCTTCAAATCTGAAGCCCAAGGTTAGCTCCTGACTGCCGCAGGTGAGCGGAAGGTAAATGCACCAACCACAGTGACTTCCTTGCAAGTCTGCAGTCCAGCCAGGTGCTGATCTGGGTACAGCAGGGGTTTCCAAAGGTGTCAATAGGTTAATGGGCATATAACCAGTACAGGCATTCTCGTTTTACAGGGCCCTTGGAAATTTGGTCTCATTCAGATTTGGGATGAAAATCCAAGGCTTTGAAATTCCCCGCGAAGGAGCCCAGAACAGGCCAGGTCCAGAAGCACTGCATGCGGCAGGGGCTGTGGTGGGGCAAAGGAGCTGCAGGTCCCCCAGTAGCCCAATAGGCAGGTGGGGGAGCGAGAATAAAGCCAGGTGGGTTCTGCTGAGACTTCATCCACATCAAATCTTGCTTGGGAAACATCTCAGTCTGAATCCACACCAGCTCCAATCACAGTCATGGGTTGGGGTCTCGACACACTGCGCAGTGCCCAGACAGGGCAGGAGTCCCTCAGCCAGAGCCTGCAGCTTGGACACAGACAGGAGAGTGGGAGAAAACACGTTCTTCTACAAAACAGGGAGCTGAAGGCCAAGAAAGGGACCTGCCCAAAGCCACACGGGGAGGTTGTGGCAGATTGTGCAGCTGAACATGGCTGCCCTGGCTCCTAGGTCAGTGCTCAGGCACAAGATCATCCTCTGCTTCCCACCCTACCCCCATGATAGTTCCTGCCACTGTGGCATCCCTTCCCTGCCTGTACCATCTTGCCTTCACCTTTACTGCCAGCTTATTCCCCAGCAATTTTTGGACTGCTCCCCCTGCGGCTTTGCATCAAGGCTGCCCTTCTCTCCACCAACCCCAATGCACCCCTAAGAACCAGCTGCCTGCTCAGGGATCATCCCAGGTTTCCCTCCCCCTCCAGCACAGTGGTGCCAGCCCTGCAGTCCCGACTGATACTGACTTAAGCTTTGAGTTCACGTGTGGCTGGCATGAGTGGGTAAGAAGTGGTCAGACTGGATGAGGGCAAGTCCCTTTGCCCTACAAGCAACAACACTTGGCAGTCATGGCATATTGTGGGCAAGGGCATCTCTGTACCCCCAGCTGCTGGGAGCTCCAAGGCATACTGCTTCCCTGCCCAGACTCAGGGGGAAAACTGCCCCCCAGGCTGGGATTTTACTGTCTGGTTTTAACACCAAAGCAAGGAGGGGAGACTTCTGCTTTCATTAGCTCTGTGGCTGGCTCGCTCCGCAGGGCAACGAGCCTGTCCTGTACCAGTACAACCAGCAATTGCCATACACCTCCCGAGGACCCCGGACATGGCAGGCCTCCACGGGTAGAAATCAACCATTGCAATCGTTTCCCCAGCTCACACCTTCTTTGGGACAGTTTTGAGTCAGCAGGGGGCTTCCAGACATCTACGGTAGGGTTTCACTGGGCTGTTCTTTGAAAGAGGAGTGGGGGTAACCCCATCCTGGGCTTGCAGGGAGGCCTGGCCCATTCATAATGGAAAAGAAATCCCAATTTCCTTGCTGCACTTAGCCAAAAACAAATGTAAGGAAAAAAAGTCTTCCCCAGCTATTCCCCCAGGGGAGGTGACTAGAGGGCTTTCCCAGGCACTGTTCTGCCCTCTCCAGCATACACACTGTGCATGTCCAACCACAGAGTTTAGGGGAAGAAGTGCCTCTTACTTTGACACACTATTGATCATATCCTGAGTTTGAGACCTACAGGCCTCCAGTCACTCAGCTCCCTCGCCCACCCCAGCGTGATGCAGTCAGGTGGCAGGCAGCTCAGTGAACCGATTAGCTCGCCTCACCACTTACGAGATTAAGATATGAAATCCCACAAGAGCTGTTCTTGCAACAGCTCTGCTTTCTTTAGAGGAACCCCATCTACCTCTAGACTCCTGTGTCCAGCAGCAGCTGCGACCAGCTGCTTCCAAGACTTATGATTCACCTAAGGGGCAGCTATGGTACTCCCTGCCTGTACAAGACGTCACTTCCCGACTTCCTCCCCTTTCGGTTCAATAGGGAAAACGCGCCTGGAAAAGAATAAAGAGGGGAAAAAGGCCTTGTAAAGTAAAGTGCCATTTATTTATTTTTTCCATGATGAAAATATCAAGTTAAAAAAAATTGCACCAACAAAATGCTCAAGACACTTCCTCTTTCACCTCCAAAAAAAAAAAAAAAAAAAAATCAAGCGCGAAAGCAAGAACAAAAACAAAATATCCTAAAGCTTTTCAACTGCAGAACTCCCTACCAATCATTTAAATAAAGAGGCCAAAAACATACAACCCCCCCCGTCCCAGAGCCTCATGGTTCATACAGGACCAGAAAAAACAAAACAAAACAAACCCAGTAGAGTCATCTAGAGCACAGGATCTCACCATTTAAACTTCTTTTTAATGAACCCAAACACTTTGTATAATACATTCAATCCTCAAGAATTACCAGATTTGATGGACTAGAAGAATTCTCCAGGAAAGGCAAAAGGGGCAGTGGAAAAAAGAGGGTAAGTGTGCTACCTTCCGCAATGTGGCAGAGCGACCTTCAGATTCGATCTCACAAATGCCAGCCTGTGGCCATGGACAAGCTACTGCTCTGGTGGCTAAATGGTTTTCATCCTGCTTTATGATTACGAGATCGTGTGGCAGGTAGACATAGCCCTACATGCAATTTTTCTGCATGCTGGGGTGAAATCTTGGGCGAGCTTGGAGGAGAAGCCTCGAAGAAGCCCTTGCCTGTCTTCCCAGTGTCTACCAGGGAAATTGGAAAGGGCTCTCAGATGCTAGAGCTTGACCCCCCAGCTCCCCCCAGGTAAGAACCTGCTTCCCTGCACCAGGGGACTGGCTACCCAGAGAGCCCATACTGGAGAGCATCTTATCGGATCAAAGCTGATAACTCCAGGGTTAAAAATAAAGGCCTTCAAAATGTAAAAATGACATCAGTGCTTGAGCCACTGGTACTATTTGAAAAAATAAGCACAATCCACTATATATAGAATTTTTTTTTGATATTTTTCTTCCTTTTTTTTTTTTTCTTTTTAAACACCCAGCATATCTGAACCACAATCAGCAGCATGAAATGCGTCTATGGGGGAGGGGGTGGAACCTCCCCCTTGTTACATTATTAGATTGCGTCAATCTACAAGTTGAGACGCTTGATTCGCCCTTCATCAAGAGGATGGGCTCTGCACTGGACAGACACAGCCTAGGCTTGGCTTTGCCCGACGCACCTTCCCTTTCAGGTAGATGCGGTCGGTGCCTCCCAGAGCTCGAAGGAAAAAGAATGGGGGAGAAGGAGGATTGGAAGAGGGGGAAGGGGAGTGCTGATACACCTGCTGCCTGCCCCCAAGATGAGCCCACTCCAGAAGCAGAGCTCGCAGAAACAGCTCTTCAATCCTCGCAAAACTGGCTTCCCTCATCCCGAATCCACCAGCAGAGTTCACGACAGACCTGCGCAGCCATCATGGGCTGGCTGAAGTTATTCCTCTAACAGCCACGCAAGGAGGCAAGGGCTAAGGCCGAGCCTCCGACTGCCATAAGCCAAGGCATCGGCCTGACGAGACAAGGTTCCCAGACTCCAGCTCAATGGACAAGCACAAGCAGCCCCAGAGCACATGCAGAAGGGCATGAGTCATGCCTGTGGCTTGTTCAGCAGGACAAGAGAGGGGAGACATAACAACCAGTGAACCCCACAGCCGAATGGGCTCCATCCAATGCCCCTGAGATCCCTACCAACACCGTTCCACCCATGTCATCAGACCCAAGCCTTTTCTCGCTCCTGCCGAACTGAGACATACCTTTCCTTCATTACGCTACAGATGTAGCTTGAGAGGAGCAAGATTCAACAAGGGGAGTTGGCCCTGCTGGGGTATGGCCAGTGGAGCCTGCTAGCCTTTCCCTGGAGAAAAACAGGAACAGGAACTACCCGAGACAGAATGGAGAGATGCTGAGAGGAAAACAAGGACATAGTGCTGTGAGCTGCAAGAGACAAGCAAGGCCTAGTGCAGCACATTTGGGCTTTGCCTTTGCAGCTGCTTGAGCAGCAAAAGCCAATGCCTTCTCCATCAAGTTGCTTGCTCAGCCACCTGTAGAGGCCCTGGAAGCACTTGCAAACACAGCAGTTCACCCTTTCCGCAGATGCGGAGGGCGTAAGATCTTCCCAAAGGCAGAAGGCGATGCTACCAAACTTGGGGCAAGATGCTGCTGCCATTTTGGCAGTGAGGAAGGACCATCAGACTCTGGATCTTCCTAGGCCAGTAGCCAATGTACACATGGAGTCATTGGCCCAACTGGAACCCTGCTTCGCTGCAGGATGTGGTCTTTACTGGCAGGAAGGGGGCAAATGTTACACCCTGAGCAGCAGAACCTCTGCACTCGTAAGATTTAACGAGGTCTTGTGGAGTCACTTCAGTGAGCCACATCCCTGTGTTCCCTGCACCAAGGTGACCTGAAGCTGTTAATATGATCGAGGGTGCACATGCCAGATTCTGCAAAGGTGCAGGTTGTTCTCAGCGTGACACCCTGAGATGGCATCTTCACCTCTCAGAGGATCTGCTGAGTACGCAAGATGCTTGGAGGAACTGAAGGTCTCTCCCCTACCAGAGGGGAAGGAGTGCACGGAGGGGAGACAACATCAAGGTGGGAAGGGGACACCCTACTCCCATTCAAACCAAAGAAAATTAGGCACCTCCCTTGTCCTTGGGACACTGTCCCCAGAAGCCTGTTTTGGGCTTGATCCATCTGGAAGCCTTCTTCCTCCTCACAGCACTGCACTGCATCCCATCAGGGAGGTCTGAGCCGCATCTACCTGCACCTTGAAAGTTTGTCTGCTGAATGCACAGCTGCACTGTTCAGAACTAGCTACTCAAATACCATGAGACCAAGTGGGTGAGACAGGAACAATCCAGATTCTGGCCACATGATGTGGGAGGGTCACAGGTGCAAGGCCTCATGGCAAGGCCAAGAGGCTGTGGGGGTGGGGAGAGAAATCAGTGCTGGAAGAGAACCAGATCAACATGACACCTATACAATAAGCAGGCAGCTTGGGAGAGTCTTCAGATGGTTCACAAACTGGGTGACAATAGAAAACGGCTCCATTTCTTTGGGATTTGGGGTGTCTCACTCACTCCCTCCTCAAAGGCAGTTTCTACAACCCCTTTACCCTGCCTTAGTCCCCCCCAGAGATGGTCTTCTCTGGCCAGTGGAGCAGGGCATGTATGCCACAAACACATCAGCTGCCTCTGAAGGGTACTAAGAGTTGGCATCATGCTCCTGGGATGCTGCATGATTCACTGTTGGTGCAGCAAGTTGAGGTGAAGAATGATCAGGGCTTGTCTTCCTGGGGCCAGCAGTGAGTGATCCACTCTAGTCACAGCACCTCAGCTGCAGAAGAACGCAGGCTGGCTGAAGAGAAATGCAGGCTTCCCCCTGAGGCACTGACAGAAGGGTGCTTCATTTCACAGTGTCCAAGAGCAGGTAGGCAACACAGCCTGTGGAAGGAGCTGCTTTCCCCAACATTAATCTGGTGGGCACAAGTCATGTGAGCATCACCTCGATGCATGGGACACCAGCCTTGCCCCAGGGCAACAACAATGGGCTCAGAGACGCCTCCCTTCCTCAGCAAGCAAACAGCATGGCTTGGCAAGCCAGTAGCCTAAGATGGCACCTGGACTTCCAGTGTATAATTTCCAATATGCTTTGAACTGCTGTATTTTTAAAAGTAGGATCTCCACCCCCTGCCCCCCACACTTAGAGGCAGAAGAAAGGAAGGAGCAACTTGGGTTGCTAGAAAATAACCGTCCGACACACAGAAAACCAAATAATCTTAAAACTATATGAAGAAAAAGAGATGTTGATATTCCCCCTCCAGTCCTTGTTCCACCCTCCGGCGAGGATCAAACCACATATCAGACTGAAAGCCAGGAGGGTGGGGGAGAATTCACTGACTCTTCCCCAACAAAGCTAAAAATACGACCCAAACCTATTCCTTGCTTTTGCAGCACACCTGCCAACGTCACCAACACAAACCCTAAGCATCTACCAAGCACAACACCTTCACCTCCTTTGCTTGCTTTGCTCTGCCAATGCACATGAGACCGCTGTAGCACTTGGTAACCCCACAGGCCCTCAAGTCCAGCCATTCCACATCAGCAGCTGCCTCCATTTCCAGTTCTTTGGTTTCTACACCAGTCACTTTCCAGCCTGCCCCGAAACCAAGCAGCAGATGAAGTATGAGATCACTGAGCTCCCCCCTGACCCTGCCACCCCTCCACCCCACCTTTAACCCAAGTGAACAGGCTTCAGAAAAGACAACGGAAGCAGCAGCATATTTCCCAAGTGTCAGAAACTCCAGAGACCGCAGCACGCTCGAGCACGGGTACAGAAAGAACACAGCCGAGGGCAAGCAAGCTGAGGTCTGTGACAGGTTAGCAGGATGGATGTTTTGCCGCCTGGGAGCAAGGCGAGACAGGGGCGGCAGAGGGAGAAGGCGGTTCCGTCTTCTATGGAAGGGCAAGAGATGGTGTCAGACAGGCAGACGTATGGACACAAGGCAGCTCGCTTGGCCATCACATGGCCGTGCGGGTGGGTGTGCTGGGCTGGTTTAGCCGCAGCGTCTTGCACAGCCAGCCAGCAAAATCCACCTCTTCTACCTCTGAGCGCTTGATGAAGGTGTGGTTCTGAAAGGAAAACAAGGCCGTGTAAAGGGCACGTGCAGCAGAGCCAAGCTGCAGTTCCCAGGCCTCCCCCTCCCCACCAGCCACAACCTGGACCTGCTCCACTTCCAGGCTCTGCCTCTCACAGTCACCAGGAACAGTCTGGGCAGCGACACCCAGCAGCATCACTCTGGAGCGATTACATAAGCTGAGGCTACAGCTGATCCTTTGGCTAAGACTGTTAGTAGTGGGCCGGGGCACAATGCGAGTGCCCACCAGGGACCCATCTGCTCCTGCCCAATGGGGCAAAGCCAGGAGGTTTGTGGAACACATTGGACCCAAGCAGGTCCCTCCCACCAGCCAGTCCTGGCTGGCACAAGGACACTGCTAGGGACAGGGTCCAATATACT